TTTATGAGATATTTATTTTTTTATTTTGACCAATTTTCTTATTTTCTCTTTGATTGATTTCTTTGCAGCTGCAATCCCACAATTTAGGGGTGACACCCCGGAAATGCACTGCAGTAATGGTGAGTTGAGATGAAAACATTTCAGCAGCAAAGTCAACACAGAAGCGCAGCCCAGCTTTGAGTTGCTAGTTTGTTTTTGTTGGTAAATTTTCAGAAGAGAGGAGATTTCTGAATGAGTCACTGTCTGTCACTTTTGCATACAGAGAATCTTTTCCTTGTATGTTTTAGAGCATTTTTTTAGACCAGTAGCTTCCAAGATTATTTCAAAGGGTTCTATATCAAGCTTTGGAGGCCCCTGGAACAGAGATGCTTGCTTCCTCTGCTTCGTCTCTTGGTCTTTTGGAAGTCTCAGCATCCTGCAGTCATTTCCCCCTGCCAGATTGTTGCTGTCACGGAGAGGACCTGAGTCACATTTTCTACTTAATAGTTGAGTGTGTTAAATTGAGTTGAAATTTATTTTCCTAAAATGCATGTATAACCAATATAGTAAATGATAATTATGTAAAGCCTTGGCTTTATACATAATATTTACAATTGTGTCTGACCAGCATCATGGCAGTTGAAAATACAACCTTCTTGAGACTGGAATTGCCTTTTTTTCAGATTTACAGGGCTCTTCCACTAAATGAGCTGTGTCTTCATAAACTGCATCCAAAATTCCTTAATGTTCTTGATAGCCTATAATATACAGCACAAGACTCTGTTATACTCATCAGGCTTGTTTTGAATAGCATCTTTAACATATATTGTTATCTATACATTTAAGCTCATATTTGTATGTATACGTATAAACTCTGGTGGCTTAGCGGCAAGGAATAACACTCCAACCAAAAGGTACACTGTTCATATCTACCAGTAAAGAAAGATGGACAGTCTCTTCCTGTGCAATTAACTGCTTGTGAATACCCGCTGCAGGGTCAGCTCTGGGTTGGTTCCAATTCAATAATACATATAAACTGACATATATAAAGAGTCTCAGTGACTCAATGGTTAAGTTTTAACTGTTAACCAAGAGGGTTGGGAGAAGGAAGGCAGAAGAATTGATGTCTTTGAACTGTGGTGTTGAAGAAGAGTACGACTATCCCATAGACAACCAAAGACTGAACAGATAGGTCTTGGAGAAGCTGCTGCCAGACTGCTTCTTGGAAGCAATGATCATTAAACTTGACCTCATGTACTTTGGGCACGTTGCTAGGAGAAACTATTCGTCAGAGCGGGACATGATGCTTGGGAAGGTGGAGGAATGACAAAAGACAAGAAGACCATTGATCAGTCAGGTTGACCCAGTGACTGAGGCAATGGGTGCAAGTGTGTCAGAGATTGTGAGGATGGCACAAGATAGGACAGGGTTTAGATGTGGTGTTGATAGTGTCGCTGTGAGTTGTACTAGCCTCGACAGCCCTAACAAAAACAAGAACAATGACAATAAGGGGTTCCACAGGAGAAAGATCTGGTGATCTGCTTTGGTGAAGATTACAGCCAAGAAAATGCTAGGGGACAACGTGACTCAAGGTGAAGATTTACTTACTAACATCTAACAATAATGATACACATTTGGTCAAACTACAATATACACCGAGAAAATATTTTCATATATTCTCATTCTCTCTCTCTCTCTCTCTCTCCCTCTCTCTCTCTCTCTCACACACAC